CTGTCATATAGTTTCTATTTTAGATTTTACAACAACCCTGTTGGTTTGCTCCATTTTACAGCTAAGGAAGCTGAGGCTTGGAGAAGTTCATGACATAGTTGATGGATTGAGGTCTGAGGCTCAGGATTGGATAGCAGTCTGACTCTAAAGTCACCCATAGCTGGAGCAGTTAATTTTCACAGTTACTGGCAAGCACCTTCCTGTCTTCTTGGATTGGAAGAGGATCTAAGTTCAGTATGTAGGCTGAGAACAGATGAGCGATTGACTGTCTAATGAAGAACTGTTTTGGGTTAGGGTCTGGAAAGGTAACCAAGACATTGAAGGTATACCTTTGGTCTTGTTACCAAGATCTACTTACACACGAGATAGCAACAATTAATAAGGGGCACATGATAGTGTTAAAAGTGATTTCAGAGAGGATAAGAAGGCATGCAGGTCTTGTTACTAGTGGCTGTACTTATTGTACAGTGGCCTGTCAGATTTAACGAGGTGGAGCAGTGTGGCAGAGCGTGGATGAGGGAAGGGACCTCACTGTGGGTCCCTGCTTTGTGCACCCTGGGCCGGTTCTAGATTCTGTCCAGAGTCCAACTTGGCTGACCCGTGTTGGTCTCAGTAGCTCAGGACCCCAGCAGATGAACGCCTGCACTGATGATTCTGCTTGAGCTCTTGCTGATGAAAAGGAGGATCTCTGTGGTTCTTCTATGTTCCTGTCCTCCAGGTGATTTTTACCCTGGTTCCTTGCTTTCCCACAGAAGACCCTTGGAGTGTTCCTCATGACCGGCAGGACCTTAGGAACTGCCATTTTGAGATGTGGAAGGAATGTGTGCCTGGCCTGTTTGTCATGTTAGACTATGGAGTACATGTTTTATTAGAGTCATTAAAAGCAATATAAAAATTATGCAGAAATTAATAGAGAAAAATAAGAATCAAATAGAGAGTTGAATACAAAGTCATATACCTGTAGCCACTTTTATTAAACCTTAATAAATGTATTTTTTGGTACATTTTAAAATGTATTTCATTTAAAACTACAAATCAAAAACTCAGCTCTTCAAATAAACTTTTAAGTTGAACTAGCAGACCTTATTATTTCTGAAAGATAACTTTTACAATAACAATATTATAGGGACTGGAGATATAGCGTAGTGGTATAGTGCTTACCTAGCATGTATAAGGCACTGGGTTCAATCCCTAGCACCACAAAATTTAAAAATTAATTGATTAATTAATTAAAAACTTTGAATAGTCATCATATTCTCATTTGTTCCCATTCCCATTGTTCTCTGTCAGAGATAATATTCCTAATATTACTCTTTTCACTGCCATGAAATATCAGTTATTTTAATATTATTTAATGTTATTCCTTATTTCTTATGCGACCTTGTCTAGGAATCTAACCACCATATTTTGTTTTTGCTAATGGTAGTGGTGAAGAATGCAGGTCTTATGATATGGATGGTGATCGTATGTTGACTGATTGCCATGTGCTAGGTTGAGTGATTTAAGCACAGTATCTCTAATCTTATCTGCCACCTTGTACTGTTCTTTCTGTTTGAGGGCTGGGAAGATTGAGGCTTACAAATTAAAATGCCCAGCAACTTGAGTATTACACACAACTAGTAAGAACTGGGATTCAGATATTTGTCAGATTTTAAGACTATAGTTTGAATCATTCCATTTGCATCTTTTTAGATGTTTTTCTCTCTATGTACAATACATATTTATTTATAAATACATAACAATCCTATCTTAGTTTATAATTTATTTTTCACCTAAGAATATGTGGTAAATATTTTCCTGTCATACAGTTTGGGCTTGGATCAGAATTTTAGCTTTGCCTACTCACTCAGCTAAGAGCCCTTGGCTAGTTATGGGACCTCGCTATGCTATAAAGTGGAGTTGGTAATACCTACCCCATGGGCTTGTAGTGCCTGCCCATATACAAAGACCTCAATGGATTTTAGCTGTTATACTGTACTTACAGATAAAATTTAGGAAAATCATTTGTTCACTGTTATTCTTCCTGTATAGAATTGATCAAGTATTGTTCAAATAGTGTAGTTTAGCTGCATTTTAGTCAACAAACATTTGTTGAATATTTACTAAGGTTGAGGCACTTGCTGACAGGTTCCTTACTATGCCAGGAACTTGGGATACAGAAATAAATAAATCTGTTTCTTCACTGAGAAGTTTTATGGAAACACAGTCTAATAATTTTTTTCTTTAAAGGAAAAGAAGACTAACTTGTAGAAGTTTTCAGTGGACTAAAATATTTGCCTTTAAAATTTCCCATGATGACATTAATCCTCAGATGTTTTTCTATCTACCTCTAGTTTTCTTTGAAATGGGGCCTCTAGGGCAGAATGGAGGTAAGGCCGGAGAGGATTCTCTCCATCATAAACTTGACATCTCACAGCTTCTGTGCTGGTCATGTTTCTTTCCCAAACATGAACAGAGAAATATATGACCTAGGAAAAGACCCAGGATGGACCCTCCAAAAATCCGTGTATTCAGATTACTGATGAGATTGCTATATTTTTAACAAGTAATGTCCTGCAAATAGTAAGTTACTTCTTCGTCAAAGAATCCATTTACTCATACCACACTAATGCTGCTTTCCTGCGTGCAGGCTCTAGTTTTCTTGCTTTTCATTTATGTTCTACCTAAAATGGGTAGATTTCTTGAGACCTTCTTGATCCAGCTTTTAATTCACATTTCAAAATAAGACAAGGACAAAAAATTAAAATTGTAGACTTCAAATGTAACATTCCCTCCACACAAGTATGCCTGCATGTTTCTGAGGCAGTGATCAGAACCACAGAGGGTAATTAATTATATGTGAAACTTGGATGACAGGGTGCAAGTTCCAGTTAATTGACAGTTGCTGTGTTTATCTGCATGGAAAAGGTCATAATCTGTTAAGTGGGGTTGGTCGGGAGCAGGTGACAAAAATCAGTGCAATCGCATTGTTTCAAGAAACTGTAAGTTGTACAAAGAAAATCTGAAAGAAGATTATAAAAATGTTTAGAATGATTTTCTCTAGCATGATCATAGGTGGTTTTTTCTTTCTGTATACGTGTATTTTCTTTTCTTTTTTCTTTTTTTGTCTTTTTGAGACAGGGTCTCACTGTGCAGTTCAGGCGGGCCTTGAACTCATTTATGTAGGCCAGGCTGACCTCGAACTCACAGTGATCCTCCTGCTCCAGCCTTCCAAGGGCTGAAATTACAGACATGCCATTACAGACATACTCAGCTGTATGTGCATTTTCTACTTTTGAATAAAAAGAATAAAAAGAAGATAGATATCTCTATCCCACCAAAGATGCATTTCATTTTTACTACTATTTAGTTGTGGCTAAATAGCTAATATCTTGAGTGCTTTACTCATAAATGCCTTTCAACAATTCTACATAAAAGTTTCTCATTTCAATTTTAGAGATGGGAAAAATCGAGGCCAAGAGAGGTTGACATTTTCCCTTAGTGTCCTTCAGCCAAGATCTCAAAAGCAAGTCTAGTTTTTCTCCAGCCTGTCCTTTTACTGCATAATAACAGAGAGAAACATCAATTTTTACAAGAGAAGAAGCCATTTTTCTCTGTAGTTAAAATACAAATTTCTGAGAAGCACTTGAATTAAATAAAGCACTAGATCTCTCACTGGACAGAGGATGTGATATGCCTTCATTCCCATGCTTTGGTAGTGCTGGTAGTTAGCATGTTTGGTGTTGGTAAACCAGTGGGTGCAATGGTTATTAACCAGTAGGATGTGCCTGTTTAAGGCATGCTTGAGGCAAGGGTAATACCTATACCTCTGCCGCAGCGCCACCAGCCATACTTGCTTCTGTCCCTCAAGATTCTGTAGAGGAGTACAGCTGGAGTCCGAGTATACGCGGCCCTCAAATGTCTATTTTCTTATTCTTCCTGTGTCTTCTGGGAGGGAAGTGCCTACTCATCCTCGTTTCATTCAATCATTGTGCCAGGAGTATTGCAGCAAAGCAGATAAAAACCAGACGTGGTCTCTTTTTACCGAGTTTCATTACTATGTGAATATTCACGGCCATCCTACCTTTCCTGGTGTCAAAAAATCTCATTTCTTGTATGTTGATACTAGTCGAGTCCCTGTACTAAGGAAGTAACAGTATGAATTGATTCAGCTGTTTGACTTTTAAGAGCATACGCATATATATTAGGGTTCAAGGTTGATGGAAATTGCTCAGTGAACCTAGACTGACATTGATGTCCTGATTTATGCAAATGGGTGCTATTATGTATGCCTCGGACACGGTTGGCCGCCACCTGAGATTCAGGGAGAGCTGCTGGGGAAAGGGGCCCAGTCCTGTTTCACCTTGACAGAACTCCCCCATTTCCTTAAGTTGGTCACAATCTCCGCTGTGTAGAGTTTTGTGGTTTTTTTTCTGATTGATTCCTAGATTACTGTGCATATACGAGGGTTTGTTTGGTTTCTTTTGCTTTTATTGGTTGTGTGTTTAAACTACTTTTACTTGTTACAACTACATTAGGTATTCCCCTCCTCCCAGTACCTTCATAAATGCCCACGATTATTTCTGTAATGCTGTGCGTGCTTTGTGTGTTTACATATATCCTCAACATATTCCAGGGGAAAAGGCGGATGGGACACTGACTTCATCCTCCCCTGGTGAAGGAAGCTGCACGTACAGGGGATGAGGAGGGTTTCCAAGGTCAGAAGCCACCAGTGGATCTCCTGACTTATTCCAAGGGGATCTTCTACGTTTGCTATTCATCCACATAATTACCGAGTATGGCAGAAGTAATGGAATAGAATGACTAGGAAGAGACCCATAACCACTGCTGTCCAGCTGCCATTTACACTGTCTTCTCTTCAACCCCAACAGGGAGATACCTCCTTCCAAACTCAGTGGCGGGGCAGGTGTGGCCAGCCTCAGCCGAAACGTCCAACCTCGTGCGCATGCGCAGCCAGGCCCTGGGCCAGTCGGCACCCTCGCTCACAGCCAGCCTGGTGAGTGACGTCGTGCTTCGGTTACAGCAGACTCCGGGGGTGGGAGCTTGCCGCTTCACTGGGTACTATGTAGGTATATTGTGTTCAAGCGGGTTTAACTTACCTCCATGAGGCACTGAGCACAGACTGGGCAATCTGAGACCTCTTACTTTCATGGTGTTAATTTCTACCTCTAACCCCCAAATTTGAGACATTTTGGTTTTTAACTCCGTGTCCACCCTTTCCTCTGAAGAATTGAAAATGTTTCTAGGCTTTTTTTGTTTGTTTGTTTCTTAAACTTACTTCATTTCAGTCTTACAGAAAAATTACCAGTTTATTCTGTATTCTTGATTCAGCTAAGTAATAATATCTTGACCAATTTGGCTCACAATTTGTATTTTGTATGTGTATGGATGGATGTGCATTCACACATACATGCGTGTAAACTTTTGATTTATCTGAGAGTAAGTTGCACGTATTTCATAGACTTTTGTTTTTGCAGTTTACCTGAATGGATTTGTGGCGGACATAATCCTATTCCCCACCCTGATATGTGTTTCATTGTCATCTTTGATTCAGTCATGGCTTTTAGAGCACTTTCTGTCCCCAATATAGAATTCAGCTTGTACTCATGTATTTTCTTTAATTGCCCAGCTCTTTGGTCCCCTTTAATGTGAAATGTTTGTCTTTTCTGATGTGAACATTTTTGAAGGAGTTTTTTTAATGGAGTATTTTTAATGGAATATGTCTCATGTTGTGTTTGTCTGCATGATGAGATTCAGGGTTTTGCAACCCAGACCAGAATCAGGCATTGGTGATGGATGCTTCAGATGTGATGATTTCAGGCTCATGGTGTCCACCTGTCCCTCACTATGATGTTCATTTCGATAGTCCACTCAAGATATTGCACCATTTTTCTACCATAGTTATAACTTTTTCTCCCACAATCAATAAACAGTTTTTGGGCAGTTACTTTCAGGCCATGTAAGTATTTTTCTCATGAAAAATATTGCCTGTATTTAGCATCTTTTGGGTGGTTCTTGTTAGGACCATTTTTTTCCATGGTGATTAAAAATGATGGGGCTAGCATTGCAAATCAGTGGTAGAGTGCTTGTCTAACATGCTGAAGGTCAGGGGGTTTGATCCTGAATGCCAGAAAGAAAAAAGGTGACTTTTCCAACACAAGCTACTCTCTACATTCATCGGCTGGTACACCACATAAATATTAGTAAATTTGTTAGCAGCAAGAACTTTTACATCACTGCCCCATACCATGAAGAACTTTATTTTTAACCACGCTGCATGCTAGAATTTTTTTAAGTGACTAACCTTCTCCACTCTATCCTTTAACTTGGCTTAGAAGTCTATACATTACTTTTGCATTGGTGATGGGGTTGTATGATATGGAAATAGATTTTTAAGCATTTTTATAGATGAGATGTAAGTAACATATACATCAGAGTGTTATGATATCTCATAATTTTATTCATCGGTAATATGTTATGTGAGCTATTTGGAAATCATATGGTAGTGCAGAGATTTGATTTAGGTCCAGGCTCTAGTTCTGCTTTTGTCATTAAGTAGCTATATATATTTAGACAAGTTACCTACTTTCTCAGACTCTGCCATGTCATCTGCAACTATAAGGTGAAAAGACATATTAAACAGTCCATCAAGTTCCTTTCAACTCTGGAATTCCCTGATTGTACTTTCAGAATAATTGAGGTTTTGAATATATGGAATAGTTATCTCTAGAGAAGTTTCCTTTAGGATAGCTTGTGACTTTAAAATTGACTACTATCCTTTAACCAGATTTCATTGTTTTCCCCATGAAATAGAATTAACATGGTGATAGATAACATTTTGTTCTACCTCACCCCTTGAGTCCAAAGTGACTTTTCCTCCTGGAGGAATTTGTTAAAAGCTTCTTTTGCTGTAAGCATGCACTTTTTAGAAGGAAAGTACCTCACAATTCATGATTTTTGTTTTGGACAGAAGTGGTTTTCAGCCACTGCTGAATGCTGTTCTTCACATTTAAATTGTAATCTTGTGTATTTACTGCCGAGTAAACCATTTTGATTAAAACAACACTGTCACAAAGTACTGCGTCCTAATCACATTCCTGTCGCTGGAACAAAATACCTGACACCCATCACTTACAAGGAGAGGTTTATTTTGGCTCAGGACTTCAGTCTGTGTTCAGCTAGCTTCAAGGCAGAGGAATCTTGTCCTGCCCAACAGAGCCCAGAAGTAAAGAGAAGGGAGGAGCTGGGGTGAGAATACATCCTGTTAGGTCAAGCCCTTGGTGACCCACCTCCAACAAGGCCACACCTCCTAAGGGCATAGACTCACTGATCAGTGGATCCACTGATGAGCTTAGTGCCCTTATGATCCCAGCACGTAAGAATATAGGGGGACAGCTCAGCTCTAAACCATGACTAAGATACTATATCTTATTGCCCAAAAATCATACATATTATTAGTCACATACCCAGACACAAAAATTCACCTAACATAACAGGAACAGCTCACAAAAATAAGGAGAACTACTAACAGAAAACATGGAAGGACCCCTCTGAAAATTTGCCAGATGACATTCTTATTGAAGAATCTTTAAATTATTAGGTGATCTATCTGCAAGTTTTATATGTCGTGTTTGCTTAAGATCAGCTGGAGAATATGGTGAAATACCTTGTGGAGCGCACTAGAAATAGTTGTGTAGCATTTTAATGTTTCAAATACTAGCACTATTAGTATGTCTGTTATTATCATATTTTAAAAATCTTTTTAAAATGAAGTTTATTGGTATAGTTTAGATGAACATAATGATCACATTCACCATAGGGAATTTGGGCATTTTGTCCCCCAACCTCTGAGATTTTCAGGGCAGCAGCAGCTGCCACACAAGGGCTTCCGTGCAGCCTGCCCTCTTGATTTCTTCTTCTGTAGCGATGGGTCCGGGTTGCTCCACCCGCGTTTTTGTGTGTCACTCAGGTCCATGTTAATGCCTTGTCTTGCTGTTAGTATGTTTCATAGGACTGCACAGCTAAAGGGACATTAAAGTTTAGTGCTTGACATTTCTACCATGTTTGGATTGGATTACATCTAAATTATTTCTACCAATTACAACTAACGTTTCATAGAAGTATACTAAGGTGGCAAAACCTGACACCTTTCAGAACTGTTTCATTTCCTCATCTTTTCTTTGTCTTCCAAGCAAGCTGATGCCTGTGGAAGTTTACTGTTCTGTGGAACATCCCTCACTGACTGAGCTGTTCTCCCAGCCACTGTCCCAACCCAGGGATCTCCCTAGAGCCAGAAGTCACCCTTCACTGGATCCCTTAGCATTTATCATGGTGTACCTTTGTTTTTGCCCTTTGTGTTTATGCCTAGTAACTCCCTGCTGGACTGCAAGCTCCTTGAGGGCAGAATTCTTACCTGATTTGATTTCCTACCCCCGACTGCTCTTATTGCAATGCCTTGCAAGTAGCAGGCATTTGAAAAATAATGTTGTAGGAACAAATAATTGTTCATAGCAAATGACAGATTCCTTTAATCTCAAGGGAAGAGTGGTGGTGTGAACCTGCATGCTGTCATGGGTGGTCTTTTAAGACCATGCATTCAAAGTCTCTTTGGGTTTGTTGCTCTGTATGCATCTTGCAATTGTGATTAACCTTCAAGTCCGGGTAATAAGCCAAATCCCATGTACTTCTACATCTGCCACTCAAAAATTATGGCAGCAGAATTATGAAGAGCTTATCCTTGCCCATCTTCAAGGAATTCTCCTTCATCTACTTTAAAGGATTCATATTGTTACATTTTTAAAAATACATTGTTCATTCATTGAGCAACTAAATTGAATCAATATTTGTGCCAAAGTGTAGCAAAATTAGAAAAATAAGGAATCAAAATGGTTCGTATCCAAATAATATCTTTGCTTCCAGTGGAACAGGAGTCCATGCTAATCCTAGCAACATATGTTTCAGAAACATATGGACCTTCCATCTGATAGGTATTAATATGTTAGTAAGATATAAATGAAGGCCCTGTGGTTTGGTAGGTATGAATTTTAGTAAATGCGTGACCTATAGTGATTTAAATGCCATAGGCAAACTTGAAGGTAATGCTAACTACCTTTTCAAGGAGGAGATTAATTCCTAGCCTGAAGTATCTAGTTTTCCTTGGCAATGCTAAATGTAGTTGTGTTCCCTCTCCCAGACACACTGGGCATTTCAGATAAATGGCATGTTGCCAATTCATCCTAAGTAGCCTAGTAGCTGGCAGAATACATGCTCAGCCAGTGTCTGCCTGCCGGGACACCAACCGGGAGTGCTGATGAAGTGTCAGATGTATACTTCATATACATTAATCTGAAGAGGGGAAAACTCATTTTCCCATTTGCTTCCTCCATCTTCCTGTCCCTCCCCACACACATGGGTAGTTTATCAAGGAAGTCATAGTCGTCAGAAGCAGGGGATTTATACAGATGCTTCTTTCTGGCAAGAAGGATGGAAATTTCAGGAGGCAAAAGCGGGACCAGTGGTAACTTATTTCTTGGTAGGAAATACAGTTGTAAGCCTTGATAACTGAAGTTTAGAAATGGTGTATGTGGCCATCGCTAGAAATATTCACCATTTTTCTACTTTGGAATAATAGATGGAGGGCAAAAGCTCTGTGGAAATTAGCTTCCAGTTTTTTCCCCAATTTTGTTTGATTTGAATGAGGTGCCTTGTCAGTTTTGTTCTTGTGACGGTCCCATTTGTGTCCTTTCTTGCTTGCCTATGTGTGTGAAACGGCTCTCTGTACCGCTTGCTACACCTTCCACTTCCTTCATTTTTCTCCAAGGCTTCGTTACCCTTGACTGTGCCATATCATTTGTTTATTTTATTTATAGTCATCCTTCACTGTCCGTGGGGGAGGAGCTTCAGGAAATCCTTAGATTCCAAATTCTGCAGATGCTGCAGCCCCTTGTATAAAATGGCAGAGTATGTATAGCCTGTGTACACTGCCTGTATACTTAAACCATCTCTAGATTTCTAATAATATCTAACACAGCACAAGTGCTATAGAAAGTCTTTATAACTGTATAGTTTAGAAAATAATGACAAGAGAAATGTCTGTACCTATGTAGTATGAGCTTCCTTTTTCCACAAATATTTTTTATTTGTTTGCTGCTCAATTCATGATGCAGAAGCCATGGATAAGAGGGCCAGTTCTCTCTCTCTTAACCCCCTGATATAAATTTAATCAAGGCCTAGAGTAGTGTATGGTAGACAATCGCTGTTCACTGATTTGTTGAATGCAGCAACGAATATATTTCCTATATATTTATTTCCTTTTTGTAGATTTTCAGTGCCCCAGAACTAACTATGATACATTTATTTTGTTTTTAATCTGTGATAAGTATTTTCTTAGTTTATGTTATATAGGCTAACCAAGAACCTGCTCTTCACGCTATAGGCTACACTAACTATGGGAACTGTATTCAGGAATTAAGCTGTGATTGTTTAGTTCGAAAATGGTAACAAGGGGAAAAAGCAGAATTACTGAGGTGAGAGCAGCCTTCTGTCAACTCCAGAGTCTTCCATGTGGGCCTCAGTTTCCCCACCTGTAAATGGCATTGATGGTTGTCCTAAACTTATAGGGTTGTTAGAATAGTGAGTAGATTCTTGTGTACTACTTTGTGCCATGTGTGACTCGAGAAACACAGTTATATGTGTTTCTTGGATTGGTAGGAGGAGTATCTTTTGGAGGGTGTGTGCTGGGTAGCTGGGGTGGCATTATCAGAAGGGAGGAAAGTGCTTTTCCCTCTGGTGGTTTGGTTGGAGGTAGGACCTTCACCTTTTTGTCCTTCCCTTGCGTGGCGGTAGATTCATTTGTTTCTCTGTTCCTTGTCTTTCTTTAACATTTACCAGCTGAAACAATTGGAAGATATCTTACTAGAATATTTTACTTTTTAAACAGGCAAGGTGCTTCAAATACTGTTTTTCAACTTTTAAATATTAGGTTAAGTAGTATAATTTTCTGTTTCTTCAGTAGCTGTCATTTGACATCATATCTATTTCTTTTAATGGAAAAATTATATTTCATGATGCACTATAAATATTAAAACCAAACTACTTAAACTGTAATATATTCAATGAGCCTTGATGAATATTCATCTTTTCCATTTGCAAAAATGCATTATGAGGAATCAGGGAAAATTCACTAAACATATTCAAAAGTGTATTTTTCCTTTTTAATTCATTCAGAATGTCGACACATAATGTCAGCATTTATTTCGGGTGTAGACTTTATTTGCAGTCATTTAATATTATATCAATACTTCATTAGCTTTGTAGCTCAAAAACAAAAACCTGATCCGAACTCCAATTAGTTAACTCCGAGAGAGTGTCTGTTAAATATTGATGTAGGAACAATTTAAATACCCTTGGATAAATTGCTGAACAAAAGCTGTAGAATACATTTATGAATTAACATTTTTCCATAGCCATTATGACTCAATTTAAAGGCCACATAATATTCCAGTGCTGAATTTATCACAATTTATTAAAGTATTTCCCTCTTTATTTCTGAGTTTTCCCTATTGCAAATAATGATAATGAGTAGACTTTTAGCAAGTCCTTGTTCACCTCTGATTATTTCTTAGGGTGAATTCTAGCAGTGAGATTATTACAACCAAAACTATAGGCATTGCTCTGGTTTTTCATAGATTTTGCTACATTATCTCTAGGAACACTTGAAATGTAATTCTGTGTGTGAGAGAGTACTTCTTACTTGCTCCAGCCAGTGGTTAACATTGTCTTCCTTTCAGGAGAAAACTTCTGGTAAAAACTTGTTTGGTAAAAATACTCTTAAATCTGGGCTTTCAATTGATGTAGTTACTGTGTACATTAAACTCTTAGTATTATGGCCAGAAGATAAAGCAAGTATGAAATTAGGGTTGCTTGTGCTTCCATACCTTCCCTCTTCCATTCCCTAAATCAGCTTACCAGTCCAAGTTGGTAACCTGTATTGCTCTTGGGATACTGGAACTGCTGACTGTGATTACAGTGTGTGTTGCTGAAGGCATTATTCCACAGCTCAGAGTTTTTTTTCATCTGGAAAGTAGTAATCTCAATTGTGAAATAGTGCCTTCAGCTGTGGACATTATAATCAGAGTCTCAGGAGTGCTTGTATTCCAGGAGTAATACATCTCATAGTTATTACCCTCTGAGCTAGGGTTCTGTTTATAGTGAAGGGATGAATTTTCATAACTCAGTGCTGAAATAGCAATAGGGAGCCATGAGCAGATTATTATAGGTCAGGCCTAATCCACAAAGATAAATCTTGTTATAGGCTCACCTGGGCCCATCCACAGAGTAGCTGGTTTAACATGAGTCTGTAAATCAAAGATTAGCTTAAAAGTGAACTATAAAATCCTCACTATGATCCAACTGCTGTCTCTATGAAGAGATGCTCTAAATATGCATCCTTCACTAACCATGCTGTGATGTCTGGAGGATAATTAGCCAATGACATGGGGAATGGATTATGAGTCAGTCTATGAATGAATGAAGAACTACACATTTGGGGGGAAAGTATTTTTAAATAAAATTCCATTCAGGATATTTCTATATCCTGAATCCAAAGGCCTTCATTTAAAACTTCCCATCTTTTCATGTTTGCAAAGATTCAAAAGTACTCACTACTTTGTGTACTGTATATGGTGTCCTTGCTGGAAAGGATGCAGGACTTGCTGGAGCGCTTCACTGTGTGGGTGTGCCTGGACAGACCAGTCAGGTGTGGGCTTCCTATTACTGAGCATTTGAGAAAGTCAGAGAAAAGTCAGAGAAAGTTGAGAAAGTGAGGTGAATTGTATCTATACATATTCTACCGGATTTGATAGAAATGCATGCCTCCTTTCATTTGCTTACTGTCACAAAGAGGAGCAAAACAGATTTGTAACAGCAATAGCATACGGTGGTACAGATCTGTGTGTGTGCATGTGGGTGTGTGTAAATTTGTGTGTGTGTCTTAAAGCTAAGGTTTCATTGTTACCTATTTACTCAACTGGTGTCCCTTTCTAGGTGCTGACCAACCTGCCTGCCATGCATAAAATGATGATTGATGGATGGCAAATCACTTGCTTCTCCGCGGTCTTATCTCTCACTGTATCTTTAGCACCATGGTTAGTGCCCGCTGTGTCCTTAGTACTTAGGAAACGGCTGTTTATTAGTGAACACTGAGGAAGTCTTAGTCCTAAATTTTAGTTTTCTGAGGCTCCTAGTCTGCTGTTTCCCAGAAACTAACCTCTGTGAGAGTCACACCTGTGAAGGATTTTGCTGGGTTCTGTGTGTGAGGAGATGACTGAGGCGGTGGCAGGGCCGAGAAAGCTGCCATCACGGAGGCGCCCCCTGGTGTGGTGGAGGATGTGCGCTACTCAGGAGCCTTCCTTGGGTGGCACAGCTTGTCCTTTCTGGTGTCCTTTAGCTCACGAGGTAATATATCAGCACCCTTCATTTGCTATCTTATTCTCCAAAGGACTCTGCTGTTCAGAAGAAACCAAGAAACCCAAGGTAATTAAAGTGGGGTGTGGGAGGAAAGAGATGTAACTTTTTGTGTCTTTGGAAAAATGAAAAATTATTATTTTACTTCATAGACTTCTTAGGAAGTTCCTGGTTATTATAGCAATCAGAAAACAACCTGCTTTAATATTTTTCTAGGTACCCTTTTTTGGCTGGTGTAGTGAGAAGTACTGGTAATTATACATGTTCCTTGTTTGTTGGTACCTGAAGCACCAATCTGGTGTTAGATTCTCAGTCAGTATATTCCCCATCATGCTCATTTTTCAGTTAATTGACTATGAACAGAGTCCCTGTTATACAATTACTATTAAGCCCTTTATAGCAAAGATGTAACACATGGTCTTGCTTTTGAGGAGCTTATAAACCTGATGGAGAGAGCATTTCTGAGAAATCAGACAGGGTAGAAGATAACAACATGCTGGGTTGTTTGCAGCTGTGAGAATTTATAGACACAGAATGACAGGCTGCAGGTTTCTGAAAAAGCTTTGCAACTTGAACTGAGTTTTAAAAACTAATTAGATTTGGGTTAGGCAAGCTCCAAAATATAGTGGACCTATTTATATATATTTTTATAGTGGAATGGGGCAGAGGGGATGGTACACAAATGTTAAAGCATCAGGGACCATGGTGCTTCTTACGGGATATTTCTAGGGTGGTGAGGAAGACAAAGGGCCACAGGTAAACTCCGACGGCCCTGGATTATCACTGGCAGAATCATGTCAGACTTACTCAGATTTCTAGGGCAGCTCCACCATCTAAGTAAGAAGGATGCTGGTGTGAGGTGGTGGGAACCATCACATCCTAATCAAGGGACTTCTTTTTATTTATTTATTTAAATCTTCATGGTACAGAACTTCAGGTATTTTACTCAAAAGGGAGTAAGTCTTATTTTTGTTAGATGCAATCTCTGGATGTTAGTGACGACATACTGAATGGTGAGATCTTTTCATTTGACATGATATCGTATTAGTTGGCTTTTATGTAAAGAATGGACAGGGTGGTGAGGCTTCCTTAGCTATTTGTGATATACTAAATTCTGTCTTTTATTGATTACATCGATAATGCATCAGCTTCCTTTTTGCAAAATTTTAAGACATGAGTGCTAAGTAGTGAAGGCCATTTTTACAAAGAGAATGTAAAAGAATCAAACCTAGGTGCCAGTTTTGATCATTTTGACCTCACACTAAGAATGATCATTATTCCCAGTCCTGGGGCTTCTAGTTTGTTTCCTCAGAGCCCTGATTTCTGTTCCTTGTTTTCCTCTTACCTATTTTTCTTTATCTCTGTATGTTTCTTTCTAGCCCTCGTGATTTACCATTAAAATTTGAGATTATTTTTTCTGTCTGGTATACATCTGAAATCATCCAAGAATCAAAGATACTATATAATTGCTTCCACTGTAAGATTATGCATTCACCAAATAATATCTGATGTCATGGATTTTATCTATATCCCCAAGATAATGGGTATACATTTATCATTCTTTTTGCAAGAATTAGGGCCTCTTCTACAATTAATGATGAAAATCTATTCATTGCATGAAACCAACTTGCTTTTCTTTGATAATCAATGTCCACTGCTTTTCTTATATGGATGCTTATGTACGTGTATATTCCTTTCATTGTTGGTTTGTATAAGACATTTTCTTTTGCTTCTGAAACACATGCAGTGATAAGTTTTAGCCTGATACATAATGTGAAGCAGTGATATTACACATTTCTAGTTTAAAATCATTAATTAAACTTGAAGAAACTGGGATCTTCCCCCTTATTTCTGGAAAACATCCATTTCCTTGACAGATTCAATCGATGGAAGGCTGAGGGTTTCTCACCTTTAAGTGCATATAGCATCTGGCACAGTAACTTTGGCCATAATGAGCCACTTATCGATTCCCAAAGGGCATCAGACTCCTCTTCCTCTCCCTTCCTTACTCTGGAAAGAAAATAATTCTCTGCACAATTTCATTGTGTGCCTGACCAATACCTGCCTGCACTGTGGCCCTCACGGTGCCCCTTCCCTCACCTCTTTCCCTACCCTCACTGTAACCCAGGTACATGACCCTCCCTTGAATTCAACCTATCTGTCCTGGTTTGGGGTTTTTGCATGGGGGAACAATATAACACAGAACACATATTGTATAAGATTATTTCTAATAGCCACCCAAAGAGTCATATACAAGATAGTGCAGGAAATCTGTCCACACACTAAGACCAAGGAATCTAGCCAAGGGCCTGGATCCCATGGAAATGTCCTGCATGAGTCCAGCCGAAGACCTAGAGCTCATAACAATATCTCATCCAGGCCTGTTTCACAGATCTGTGTTGGGAAGGGCCAAAGGTCAGTGGTGAAAACTAGAAAGTCTGTGCCAGCGGGATGAAGGATCTTTGCTAGCAGGCTGAGGGATCTGCACTGGAGCCAAGAAGCAACACTCGAAGTAAGAACCACAACTGCCCCGAAAGTTACCACAGCCATCCTCAGCAACAGTGAGGTCCTGAGCTCCTCAGTTCTCATCAGGAAAGCCAATGCGACAAGCTTCTCCAGGAGTCTGAGCTGTGTGCCTTCTTCCCTTCTGGAGTCAGGAAGGGATGCTCAGAGTGAAGACCAGAGCTTCCCCAAAGCGAACCTAAGCTATTCTCAATGCCAACAAAGTCCCAAGCTCCTCGGAGGATGAAAACAGTTGAGTTCATCAGGAAAACTAGCATAACAAGCTCCTCCACAAGAACCAGCAGCTTCTTACAGCATCTTTCAGCTTCCAACAGGCTCCCAACAGCTTTTACCTGCTCCCAACAGCCTCCCTCCTTCTTCTGCAGTTCTGCCTCTTATGCTGCTGGCAACAATCCTCAGGCGGGCCTCCCACTCCCAGCACCACACATACTCAGTTCAGCTGGGTTGACCACCAGTTGTCAATCCACTACAATATCCAAGTTTTTTCTAGTGCCACTACTGAACCTAGGGCATTGCTGAGCAAGAGTTCTGCCACTGAGTTGTATTCTCAGCCCAAGATTGTGCATATCTGAACCAAGGCATGTATTATGTGCTTGTGTTGGACTCTAAAGGTCCCTTTGCTTGTCCTCCTCTCCTTGCCTACTCATTTCTTGATGGCGGATGGTCCAAAGATTAGCATAGCTAATCTAGGTGTGGATCTCAGATATCCCACTGGGCAGCGCTTAGCTATGACACTACATAAAATAGCACAAACGTTTTGGTTGTGCCCACAGCACCTCTACATTTTAGTTGCCACTTGAGAGCCATGCTTTTGGAAATGAATTCAACAACTGGAAAATTTTATGAGTGGAATAGAGCTTGGGTCGCCTTCTCCTGCTGCTCAGAGAGACCATGCTGACAGAGACCTTTATCTAAACTGTGATCTGTTGTAAAAGCACTTGATTTAGAATTTAATTACTGTACACCAGTTTAGAGTAGTGTTTAAGGACATGGGCTTTAACACCTGGCCTCGTGGCTTGGCTTGGAATCTTGATTGTACCATGTACTAAATATGTGACTTTAGCCAAGGAGTGTGACTTCTCTGAACAGGAATCTTAATAGCACCTGTCGCCTGTTGTTGCTGGAATCAAGTGAGGCCTTACTTGTAAGGGTATCCACTTTGAAGGCAAATAAATGTTAACTCTTATTATCTTGGACAAGAGGCCCTGATGTATTAATGCATTACACCAGGGATTTTAAGGTTTTATTTTAAAATACTAAATATCTGAAACTTATGGTTTAAAGAACGGTAGAAGTTGGCCTTGTAAAGATCAGTATCTCTATGATTATTTTCAGATGGCTGCAAATCTACCACGTTTTCTTCAGGATCATTTGTAAGGCGAACAGCTTGTTTGAAATCAGAAGTCATGGAGAAAGGATAATGTGACATTTTCATGAAGTAAATGTTAAGGGGTAAAGCTATTAAAATATAAAATGTAACCAGAAAAAGAGAGACCCAGCCTTCTCATTCCCTGAGTGGATGATACAAAGGACTTGTGAGGATCCTGGTCTTTATGAATTTTTTTTAATTAAAAATATGCTTTGTACAGAAGTCTTGCTTTCTTTTGAATTGATACTTTGGTTACCACAATGCCTGTGTATTTGGATTTTCAAATTATTAACCTTCTTTTCTAAAAGTATTTTCAACATTTCTAACTATGATTACCCTTGTGAAATTTTATTATTTGCCCAGGTGTAACACACAGGATATCTCTTAGGCTTCTGACATTGTTGCAAGTTCATCCTTTCAACAAAATGTTTTTGAATATGCACCCCTAATAGATGGATGTGTTTAAAAATGATTTCCATGTACTTAGAGGTGGTGTTGAGCATATCTTACACACCTGTAATTCTCCACTAGAAAACCACTAGAGAAGACACTTGCTGCAGGATGTCCCTAGGGCCCGGAGGCAAGGACTCTGCGAGGTGGTAACCACCTGGTGGCCACATCGTGGTGAGGACCAGGAGTCTTGGAGGGGGCAGTGTTTGAGGCGTGGCTACTTCCCACCCTCTAAGGAGGGTGTACGTTTTAGTCATCAGCCTAGGTGCCCATCGTCTTGAGTTTCAGCTTGAATATCAACCTGGGAAGCCAACAACAACAGAAGATTAAAAAATAGAGATTAAAACATGGAACCGGAAGTTCTGGGTTTTTTTCTCTAAACTTCATGTGAGTGTAGAGTTGTGATTCTTGTACTCCTGTTTGTAGGCCACTGGAAGAAGCTATGCGGTCTGCCTTCTGAACTCTCTAGAGTACAGCTTTATTGATTTAAAGGAGCTTTGAATATTTATTCAAGCCGCCTGTCTTTTGTTTTTTGGAAAAGTTTCATGTTGCTTTATCATTCAGTGGAAAGAACAGCAGATCTTTGTTACACATGTCATTAACTACCACCAAAGTGACACAAGTGTCGACGGGTATTGTGAAAAGCGTTTCCAAGCTAATTATGTTAATTAGAATGTAACATACCCGGTAATTGCATGTATTCAAACATCATACTATCACTTTTTGTGTTTTCTTTTCCAGATGTAAGACATTCATTTGTTGCTTGAAAAGCTGCAGAATTATAGCTAAGATAACAAATAATTGCCAGCAAATAGAATTGGTTCTTTAGAAATATACCCTAATTGGTTAGCCATGTAAGAGAAAATAACAAATGTTAGCATGTTAAGCATATAAATTAGGACCATTGCCTTTGAAATCCTTAGTTTGGGGACTTTTCATTTAAATAAGCCTTCTTATTGCAATTAATATTATTGTTTGTTTATGACCCTTAAAAATATATTCCCTTTCAGCATTTCTTGGAGTTCTAATTTAGCAGTCTTATACATGTTAGACAATTTGCAATTTAGATTTTAATTTGATTTCCATTCTTTAAAATGCCATTTTTCTTGTATTTCATTTTTATTTAAAGCATGACTCTCTCTGTATTCATGGAAGCTAGGAATAAACAAACTACTAGAAAAATCAAGCTATTAAGTGAACTGAAAACATAAAACATTTTAATAGGAATTCCACATAACTAAACTAAATATTTGAGAGTCTAGCCAGAGAATTATGGTTTTTTGGAAACAAACTTTATGGGACCTGGTGTTCCTAATTTACCCTCTGTTATAGTTCTTTAAAAAAAAAATAGCATTTCTATCATTGATTTTAAATCTTCACAACATCTTGCATATATGAGGTATTAAATCTGACTCCAATGATTTGGGGGACATATCTGCATGAAGCTAGAGTTTTGGTCTCTATAATTCTTTTAGAATTTTAAGTACTTTTTTTCTATTGAGAATGTCAGTGTGTGTTCATCTTGTCATTTGACTTATGTGGTTTTATTTCATTTGCATTGTGACCTGCCTAAATCAGCCCAGCACAGCACTGTGAGCTTAATTCTCCAGGGCTTGCTGTCCTTTCTCAGTTAAGTAGCCTCATGCTCAAACTCAGGAGTGATGTTCTCAATAGATCAGAATATTTCTTCTTGACAGTAGTTATTGTATAGTTGTACTTGCATATACTATATTCTGCCTAGTAGTTTTGCTACGATTTTTAATTCACTTTGGGGCTACTGTTATTAATAGCAAATAGGCTCGTTACCTTGCTTTACTTACTAACCATTCTTGAACAACACAGGAGATGCTGAAAAAGATTGACATTTTCGAGGTTGGGGAACTTGGTAAGACAGTTCTTGGCTCTGTGATTTGGGACCATTGTCATTTAACCTCATGGAACCCTGGTATCTCCATGAGTAAATGGGGATGGTTAATCCTGACAACATTGATGTAAGAATTACAGAACATAATTCATATCAGAGCACAGTGCCAGATCCTGGTATTCTTTGTGTATTTCTCTAAGCACAGGAATCTGCTTCAGGGTCCATCTGTTTGTCCCTGAGCCCCTATCACACTTTCTTAATTACTGTAATTTCATTACAAGTCTTAATACTGGTCAAGAACATTCTCTTATGTCGTTGTAGCTCTTTGTTTGCTTTTTTTGGCATGCTTATCTTCCCTATGAATTTGCTCGTGAAATTCTGCAAGCTGATTGAGGTTTTGATTAAAATTACATTAAATCTGTAGATCAATTTGGGGAAATTGGCATTTTTATGATGCTGAGTTTTACTATTCTAGAACATGGTATATTGCTCTATTAACTTAGGACTTTTTTAATGTTTCCCATAAGGTTCTATTTTTTTTTACAGAAAGAATCTGTACATCATTTGTTAGATTCATTCTTGGAAACTTCCAATAAGCTTTTTTAAAAGTAAGCAGTTCCAATTGTTTACTAATGTATAGGAGGCATTCAATTGACTTTTGGATATTACGTTTAAATTGATCAACCTTGTAGTTTTTTATTTTCATCCATAGGTTTGAAAGGGGTTTTTAGGCAACGATGTGCAGAAATGACAGTTTGCTCTTTCACTTTTTCGATCATATTGCCTGCCTGCCTGCCTCTCTCCTTCCTTCCCTTCCCTTCCCTCCCCTCCCCTCCCCTCCCCTCTCCTCTCTTCCCCTCCGTTCTCCTCACCCCTCCCCTCCCCTTCTTTTCATCTTCACTAGTTAGAACTCCAGAACTAAATTGCATAGGAGCGATGATATTGCCACACACCCTTGTTTTATTCTTCATCATAAACAGAATACATTCAACATTTCATACCGTTTGATAAATTCTTGAGTTTCCTTTTTTTTTTTTTAGCTTTGCATCGTATGAAAAATGTCTTTTCTAATTCACCTAGTTTTTCTGTTTTATGTTGTTTCTTTGAGGCATGGTCTCACCATGTAGTTCAAGCTGGCCTTGAACTCACCCTGTAGCCCAGACTGCCCTTGAACTCCTCGTGATCCAGGATTACAGACATATGCCATCATGCCCCGCTGTCACCTAGATTTTTTAAAAATCAAACATTTTACACATTTATTGACGGCCATTAATCTTACATTTTTGAGAAAATACAACATTGTCACAACAAAGTACTTTTTAATTTACCTTTCTGCATTCATTTGTTTGGGACTTTTAAAATCTGTGTTTAAAAGTGGTGTTAACTTCTTATCTTATGCGGTCTTGGTCTGGTTTTAATGTTAAGGTATGTTAGCTCAATGAAATAAATTAGTAATGTATATCCACAACTAATTATAGCAATAGTGCTCCTTAGTAAATCACAGTTTCTGAGGGGCACACCGCACTAAGGAGTTTTCATTTGGGTTATGTATTTGGCTAGCTGGGGCTAGCACACATTCTCACAGTAGTATCTTATTTTTTCTGATGTCTTTGTGGATTAGTTCTTAATATTTAAATCTCTAGGATTTATTTTTGTTAAATAAAAGAAGATTTCTGCTTTTTATTCTTTCTTTAAATAGCGTGCCAGTTATCCCAGCATAATTACTGACCAACATTTTTGTCCTCCCTACTTTATAACACTGCTTTTAGCATACGCTACATTCCTAGGTATGTGAAAGGTTTATCGCTTGACCCCGTTCTGTTCCTCTGATTTGATTGTCTTTCTATGTTTATATCACATAATCTGATTCCTGTAGTTTCCAGTTATGTTTGCCATGCAGTAGAGCTGGTAGGGGAGCCTCATAACTCTTGTAGTTAAATTTATTTTCTGTTAGATATAAAAGACTTTCTCTTGTTTTAACATTTTCTTCTGTCTCTGAAGTACCATTATCACATTCTTTGTAAGCCAGTGAGGAAAAAAAAATTACCCCCTATGAAAATGTTGAACAGCAGCTGTATCTGTAAAGCCAGCACCTTTGGGGCCTGTCAGTGAGGAGAGAAACCTTTCGCTCATCTTGTCAGGTTTCCATGTCCCCTCCTGTTCTGCCCACTGCGCAGCTTTGGGTCTTCGCGTGACTGACTCTCATGGAGTTTTGCAACCCAGGACCCTGAACCTCGCTCTTCCCTGGGGCAGGGTTCACTGATTGCTGCTGCCTCCAGCCTGAGAAACTGAATGGGAGCAGACCCCCCAAGGGACTATTTCCAGAGATGAGAACAGGAAGGCTGAGGCTGGCCTGCCCTCTGCATGTGGAGATGGACTTCCTTCGTCAACCTCAGGGGCTCCTGGACGACAAGAACGACAAGAGCAGATTTCCTTGTGGCTTGTGGTTGTAAACTTCTAAATGCCACTAACTACCACACTGGCTCTAGAGATGGTCTCTACTGTGCATGCTTCTGCGCTCAGTGTCATTAAACCCTCGAAAGGGGAAGAGAGTGCACCACTTTTAATGACTGTACCACTTTTCATGGATGAGCTCTTTTCCCACACGGCCTGCATCCTGAGTGATCGGAAAGTCCCCTGCCTCCTGTGCTGATTCAAAGGCTGTGCTGGCTAGAGGCGGGGGTAGGGACGGTACACCAGGAGTAATTTCCCTCATCCATCACGCTGACAACCCTTGGACTCCTCACCCTGTCAGAGCAGGGAGAGGCTTGGGCAGGACTGATTGGTCCCCACTTGTCTGGCATTTTAAACAAATTTTCATTTGATAGGAAATTAACTAGATGCAGCTGAAGTTGCTCCTGGCAAGAGTTGTCACCAAAGTGGGAAGTTTATAACCTGTCCC